TTTAAACATGTAGATATTGTACTTCAGGTAAGATTTTACTTACTTCTATATATTTATATAAATATACTATAAAACTAGAAATATTGATAAAACCTGGAAAATAGACAACTATATAAAAACATGTAGATATTGTACTTCAGGTAAGATTTTACTTACTTCTATATATTTATATAAATATACTATATAACTAGAAACATTGATAAAACCTGGAATATAGAAAACTATATAAACATGTAGATATTGTACTTCAGGTACGATTTTACTTACTTCTATATATTTATATAAATATACTATAAAACTAGAAATATTGATAAAACCTGGAAAATAGACAACTATATAAAAACATGTAGATATTGTACTTCAGGTAAGATTTTACTTACTTCTATATATTTATATAAATATACTATATAACTAGAAATATTGATAAAACCTGGAATATAAACAACTATAAAAAACATGTAGTTATTGTTCTTCAGGTAAGATTTTACTTACTTCTATATATTTATATAAATATACTATAAAACTAGAAATATTGATAAAACCTGGAATATAGACAACGATATAAAAACATGTAGATATTGTACTTCAGGTAAGATTTTACTTACTTCTATATATTTATATAAATATACTATAAAACTAGAAATATTGATAAAAACTGGAATATAGACAACTATATAAAAACATGTAGATATTGTACTTCGGGTAAGATTTTACTTACTTCTATATATTTATATAAATATACTATAAAACTAGAAACATTGATAAAAACTGGTAAATAGACTTTTATAATAGATAACATATTCTTTTATGAATTTAGTTATTAACATGCACTATTCAAAATGATTCTAATTTTGTCTGTAGAAAATATAGCTTTGGGTAAAGAAACAAGACAAAGTTCAATCTATACTAACAAAGGACGAAAGAAAAGTGTATCATCAAATGCTGTAGATGGTAATACTGATAGTGATTATAGAAGTGGATCTTGTACACATACTAAAAATCATAAAGATCCATGGTGGTGTGTTGATTTACAGTCAACTCAACAATTTCAATCTATTATACTGTATAACAGAAAAACTAGTGAGTACTTAATATAATAGATTGAATGGTTTAAATCTTGACATTTTGATACTATAGTAAACTGTTATATATACACTTACAACCAATGAATCGAATACTCAGTTTGCTTCCAAGCAATCTATTCCAATGGAAGAACAGATATTTTATGAATGCAGTGTATAAGAGGTTAAATAATCAGCAAACGCTTTCTTGTTCAAAGAATTATACACCAACTCGTACAGAAAGCTGGGCCATGATGGGTGTTGAAGAAAGAATCTTCCAGGCGTGTTATACTACCAAAGGATAAAGATATATTCTTATCAATATCAACATCAATATCGATATATTTAACAGTGACAATATCATTATGTGTATTAAAAGGATTAACGTAATTGAATTGATTAAAATGTAGATCTAGGAGCTAGGTCTCGTTTTTGAATTTATTATTTTATAAATGAAATCATTTAGATATCATTAACTATGACATTATCAAAGAATGATGTTTCAAACTTGTCTCGAAATGTACACATCTACCTACGCAGTTGTGAAACTCTGAGTAACAACTTGTATCAAGTACTGTTTAGATATTTTTGATATAACATATTATATGAATACTTTTATAATTTCAGACAAGGGAAGATTGAAAGGATTCTCTATAAAAGTGAGTGAAACTGGAGAATGTAATCAAAGTACATTTGAATCTAATCAAGTTTGTTATAAAGATATAAGTTCTAGGTCAGAAGATATTTATAATTGTAATATTACAGAAGGACAGTTTATATTTATTACAGTACCAACTGGTATTGTTTCTGTTTGTGAAGTTGAAATACAACAAGGTGATTTATTACATTATAATATCGTTAAATTAATTGTTCATGTGTTCGTTATTAATATATGATAGAATCAATGAAATTTCCGAAAGATAATTTATTTTAATTTTTAGTTTTTATTTTTTGTTTTTAATCTGGATGAAAGGTAAACTTAAGTATATAGGTGCGGATAGTGGGAAGTTCCGACTACGTCGTGTCCAGAAATATTCTGCCCATGATTTCATATTCATATTCCGGAATTTTGTCCGGTTCCAGACCTCGTATACTAACTGTTCAACTTACCCATTTTCAACCCAGAATCTGCAGAATATTTTTTATTTAGGCTACTCTATGGAATCAATAATGAA